AATGGCTTGGGAACGAGGCTATTTCCAAGGCAGTGCCAAGCCTCTGGACGAGGCCTTTGGAGATGAGACAAATCGGTTGAGTCCGGTTGCTTGCCTTGATTAGACGGTGAGGCTCGTACTTTTGAAACAAACCTACTGGCCAAGCGATCATGCAGGAATGATTTGCCAAGTCGACTAAAAAGCCGCTGGTAGGTCCTCTCTTTTGAGTCGACTCAAAAGTCAGCTCGTTACAATGTCACACGATACCTTTTCTACACGAAGAGCTATACTTGCTTGGAGGTTACCGGAGAGAGTAGGTAATATTTTAATTTCTGCTCATAAGTGCTTGTGTACATGTAGCTTTTGTTTGTTCCTACAGTACAGTACTCCCCCTGCGAGAAGCTTTGGGGTTAGTATATAGCCCTAGTTTGCTTTCATTCCTAGCTTCGTGGTCTGAAGAAGGCTAATAAGTTGAATCCGGTTACCGCCAAGTTTTTCACAAAGCTTTTCTTCAAGCAAACAAACAAATACTATTTTTTAACTAAGCAAAGTTGCTGCCACGTAAAGAGATGGCTCCAACCTGTGGCTCCATTGGACTTACGAAAGATACTTCTACGATGGCCGACTTTAAATTTACTGCAACCAGTGCTACCAATGCAACCAACACCGATGCTGACAGCGTTCCCCATAATCAGAGAACATTGAGAACTTTGCGACAAACTGCGAAGTTCAATGTCTCAAAGGATAAAGGACCGGCCACTTCGAAGGAGTTGACATTCGAATCTCCTTCGGTCTCCAGACCCTGCAAAAAGAGAGCTCTCGATACTTCAGCAGCTACTCTTGCTGGGACATCTAACGTTCCGGGTATTCTACCTCAAGTCATGGCTCCTGGACAAGAAACGGTGTTGATTTGCCAAGACATCCGTGATACGGTTATGTCTTATTCTTTCGATTTTTTTGGAGAGCTTAACAATGCCTTTTTGAAGAAGCACGCTACGCCAGCCTATTTTAATGCTGCTAAGCTTCAAGCTATCGGTGACTTCAAAAAGGTCTTTTCTAAATACCGTACGCTACTACAAAAACTTCGTTTCATAGAAGAGCAGAAGAAAGCAGGGATCATCCCGCATTCAATTCATATTAAGCTGTTTAACTTCATATGCAACTCCGAAGATCTTTGTCAGGAAGCTAACCATAGTCTGGAAGCTGACCATAGTCTGGAAGCTACACGGCTGAAATACTGTCTTAATGCTAAAGAGATTTTAATCACCATAAAGAACAAAGCAGTCGACAAAGCTCTGAGTGATGCGTGTGCTGTCAGTTAGTCACTTCTTCATTACATCAACAACTTCATTGTCTTAACAAAAAGTCTGACCTTGGAATTAAAAATCTGAGACTCATTGACAATCTTTCGTATTTCAAAGCGCGAGTACTTCTTGAATTTAAGAATGCCGTCTTTGTTATTTATATGAAAACTAACATGGCAGAGGTGCTGCTGAAGCAAAAAAAGGATGATCTTGAGGCTAAGAAAGCAGGTGCTGTGTCTGAAGCACAAAATCTCTTGGTGGAACCCACTGTTCGAGAAATCATTCGATGGGAAGCTGGAAAAGTCTTCAAGTCATATGTTGTTAAAGCAACTGCTAAGCCACCTGCAAAGGATCGCAACGGCAAGAAGGATAAGGATAAGGCTTCTATTCAATCCAAATCCAAGTCTAACAAATCCGGTGTAAATGTCAAGAAAGGTGCTGCTGCTAAGGGGAAGAAACTTGTTTCCTATTTTTTTTATGCTGCAAGGGCTCCAACGGCAAGAATTCCGGAAAGCAGTCCACTACGAAGAACAAAAAGAAGCTGAATGATGCCGAGTCTGCTGCTACCAAGACTGTTGGTCGCTCTTTTGCAAAAACCTCTGGTTGCAACGCTGCCGGATCTTCTGCTACCAACCGCAAGGGACCCGTTTCAAAAAACGGGGGGGGGGGAGGTGGAGGCCGCGGAAAAACAACAGCACAGTAATGACGGATGTTGATACCTTCGCACTGATACTTTTCGGTTGTCAAACTGAATATCAGCTGCAGTGTCGTGCTACCAACCGCGGAATCCATAACTATAGTGATCACACCTTCACCTCCAAAGAACTCAACCTGCTGAGCCTTGGGCTCAAGTACATTCCCGTTCGAGTTATTTGTAGCGTTGCTAGCTTTGAAGCTGAGATTATTTCTTTCTTTTGGAGTGTTATGACGATGTTCTTCTTAAATGGATCTGATTCTTCTGGTTACTCAGGGTACAAGTTACCAAAACAAGGAAACTGGACCCCACCTCTAGCCGCTCCAAAAATAGAGACGGTTTTGGAGGTCCTTAAGGAAGCTGCCATTAATGAAGTGACTGAACAGAGTTTCTCTACACTCATCCGAATGTCGAAGAATGTGCTCCTGACGCTGCATCGCCTGGCTAACAATCCTAACCTCGTCTTTAAACCTGCGGACAAAAATCATGGACTAACAGCCATGAGCAGGGATTATTATTAGGAGAAGTGCCTCCAGCACTTGCTTAATGATAAAGTCTACAAGGAATATGACGCTGTCCCTCTCTTTGGAATCGTTGACGAGTTTAATTCTATACGCTCGGAATGGAGTCCGTTTATTAAAGCTAAAGTTTGGGACTCTTTTCTTCAACAACCTAAGTCTGGCTGGAAAGTCCCGGCCTTCTATGTCCTTCTAAAGATACACAAGAAGGTCTCGGCTGGACGGCCTATTGCCGCTTGTCACTCTTGAGTTACCACTAACGCCTCCTACTGGCTTGATTCAGTCCTAAGACCTTTGGTTTGGAAGCAGCCTACCTACGTTAAAGACTCCAATAGTCTTATCGTCGAGCTGGAGCAGCATATTTTTTAATCAAACAGTCTGGTGGCTCCATATGACGTCGAATCCCTTTACCCTTCAATTCCGTTATGGGATGGGATCGACGCGGTCGCTTATTTTCTTCAGTAAGAGCGGCATCCGCTGGCACTTGTTATTATCCGACTTTTGAGATGGGTCATGTTTAACAGTTTCGTCTCATTCAATGGCCGTTTCTTCCGTCAGATTCAGGAGACCACCATGGGTACTTTTGTAGCTGTGTGTTCCGCGTTTCTTTTTCTGAGCTATCTGGACATTCAGCTTCACGCCTCGCTTCTAATTTCTCCTGCCTTACACCTTTGCTTCATTGACGACGGTCTGATTATGTGGGAGGGAACGAGGGAGGAGTTTGACCATCTGCGGAAGCAGTTCGATTCGTTACACCCTTCTTTTTGTTTGACATGGGTGGTTTCAGATTCAACCATGGATTTTTTTGGACTTGAAGGTTTTCAAAGGAGAGAGATTTTTAAGTTCCGGCACTCTGGACATGAAGCTGTACCAGAAGCCGATGAATCGCCACCTCTACCTTCCATTTAAGTCCTACCACGCTCGTTCAACTAAACTGGGTTTCATCCGGAGTGAGATGCAGCGTTTCCTTTTACGCTCCTCCACTAAGTCTGACTTTCAAGACTCCCGCGCACTTTTCTTCGCCCGTCTAAGGGCCCGTGGGTACCCAGTCAAGTTTTTACTTCTGGTTTTCAAATCTGTGGTGTTCGCCCAGCGTAGGGAACTCTTGAAGCGTGCCTCCACTACTCGTGTCTCTTCTTCTCGTGGCCCCCTGGTGTTGAAACTTCTGCTCAACCTGTTGGTTGACCGTTTACGCTTGGGAAAATTTTTGAGTCGACTCGAAAGTCAGCTCGTTACAATGTTACACAATACCTTTTCTACACGAAGAGCTATACTTGCTTGGAGGTTCCCGAAGAGAGTAGGTAATTTTTTAATTTCTGCTCATTAGTGCTATTGTACATGTATCTTCTGTTTGTTTCTACAGTACACTACTCCCTCTGCCCCACGAAGGAATGCCTTGCGTGGAGCCTTGGGGTTAGTATATAGCCCTAGTTTGCTTTCATTCCTAGCTTTGTGGTATGAAGAAGGCTAATAAGCCGAAACCGGTTACGGCCAAGTTTTTCACAAAGCTTTTCTTCAAGCAAACAAACAAATACTATTTTTTAACTAAGCAAAGTCGCTGCCACGTAAAGAGATGGCTCCAACCTGGGGCTCCATTGGTCCTCCACACCCACAGCCGCTGGTAGGTCCTCTCAGGTGGTGGAGTGAGGGTGCGGTACACCTCCCACACCCATGCCATGCCTCCCCTTCCTCTAACCCCCCCCTCTTTGTGCCATCTCTCAAACTCATCCCATCCCCACCTCCCCTCCCCCATCCCCCGCCATCATTACACCTTCCTACCCTCGCCACTTCTCCCACCACGCAAACATATCTGAGACTGTTAAGGCGCCGTTAGCGAAAATTGAGATTGGAGCGCCAACAAGGCCTTCATGTCTAATTGTTTCGACGCCTTAGCAATTCTCCCCCCAAGCACCGCACACACACACACCTGCTTGTTGGCAAAGATCAATATAGGAGCTCCAACCAGGTCCCCGTGTCCGAGCACCTTCTCTGGAGGAGAGGAATGGGGACGCACGAGAGAGAGAGAGAGAGAAGCATGGGAAGAGAAAAAGACAGAAGACGATGATTTCAGCTCCATTGATGGTTTGATACAACGGAACACCATTAGATCCTCTAAGCTTAAAACCGTATTGTCATTTACATAGAGAAAAAAAGGACGTATTCTGCGGTGCCATGTTAGCAGGTTTATGGGATGGAGAGGAACAAGTGTAAGAGAAGATTGAGAGAAGCGTAAAGGTGTCAAAAGGCAGACCCCCCCCCCCCCCCCCGAGCAAATGGCAGCCCCCCCCCACACCCCCGAGCAAATGGCAGCGCCCCGCCCCCCCCCCGAGCAAATGGCAGCACCCCCCCCCCCCCCCCCCCCCCCCCCCCAAGCAAATGGCAGCACCAAGCATTTCTCTTTGCATCTCCTGGTGTGACTCCCATCCATCACCCAGCAGACCAGCACCCAGCCCAGCAGACCAGCATCCACTCCTAAGAGCAGGCGGGCACCCACCGAGCGCGCCTCTAGCACCCACCGAGCGCGCCTCTAGCGTCGTCGAATCTGTTGGGGCAGGCAGCGTCCACCACGTAGATCACTGCATGCGACTCCTCGTAGTACTCCTCCCATATCGTGCGCAGTCCTATTTGCATGGGGGGCGATAGGGGGAAGTCACAGGGGAGGGGAAGGGAAGGGACAGGGGAGAGAAGGGGGAAGGGACAGGGGAGGGGGGGGGGAAGGGACGGGGGAGTGAAGGGGGAAGGGGGAGGGGGAGGAAGAGGGAGGGACGGGAGAGGGACGGGGGAGGGAAGGGGAGGGACGGGGGAGGGAAGTTGAGGGACGGGGGAGGGAAGAGGAAGGGATGAGGGAGGGAAGGAGAAGGGATGAGCCTAAATAGAGATGGGGCAAATGGGGGAAGGGGGAAGACACGGAGATGGGGGGTGAAGGCACGGCGGAGGAAAAACGGGGGTAATAATTGAGGAAGGGGGGAAGGCAGAAGCGGAGGCGGAGGGAAAGTGCAAGTGGGGGGGAAACAGGGTGAAAAGAAAAGAAAGAAAGAAAAAATAGTGTTGAGGCATACAACGCTCTGAACCTTCTCCCTCTCTCTCCTCTCTCCCCATGTCAACTCTTACCCCTTTCCCCCTCCCACCCTCGTTCTCAACCCACACGCCAAACACCGCCCTCACTCGCCCCGCACTTCCCTCCTCTTCCAGGTCACTCGCACCTGGCCGCGCAGGTCGCATATGATGAGCACAACCCTCATAGTCGGCACTCCTCTTCCTTCTCCCCTATTCTCACCCTCACAGCTGCCTTTGCCAGCTTTTGCCCCCTCAGCAAAGGGCCTTTGGAGGAGAGCAGGGCAACCCAATCAGCTTCTTTCAGTAAAAGGCGCATCTCGGGAATTCGTGGGTGTTGACTCTGCGCAGCACATGAACAAAGCTCCCTCACAACCAACAACTACAGAATGGAAGCAAAATACAACTCACTGAACACCAGGGTGTACAGAAAAGTATCGATACCCTCTCGATACGCTCTAAAAATCCTAGCACACCTGCCCCGTTCAAGTTCATGACAGATTATTCTCGAACCAACTCTGAACACGATGGCCAAAAGAGAAGTTTCTGGATAAAGCTTTTGACCTAATGACTAGCTCTGCTCCCCATAACCTCTCGCTTCCAGCTCGGTCGCTACTGTCAGACCCAGCAAGGGCAGTCGCCGTTGCGCCAAGATCGCAAGCTAACCTGAGCTCACCGAGAATTCCAGCCATGATCGCACTCGGCCAGTCGTCGTTGTGCATTTGAATGTATTGCAACAATTGTCTACAATGCAACATAGACAATGTGAGCAGAAATACCGTACTTGTTATTGATTGCAGACGTTATGTAAAGTTATCCATCCATACACTGATTAAGATCAGTTATTTTTTTTTTCAAGTACGCATGTCAAGACTTTTACATACCGGGATCTTATACTGTTGAACTACGCATATAGTAATGAAGTCACTAAGAAGTGTCTATTCGGGGTTTGTGAGCATCAAAAAGTTAAATGTACATTTGTCTAGGAATTTGACAGCCAATATATATGCGTAACTGCACCTCGAATATATTACAAGAAAGCACAGAGCTAGCAATCTAAGAGAGACACACTCAAGTAGCTATAGGAGACTTTCTGTTCTGTACTTCCATAGATAAATGTCACCCTGTGCTTGCTTCTGTGGCGCCAGTAGAATCAAGCCCTCGAATAAGTTCTTGCTGCTGCCTTGGTGCTGCCAGCATTGCTCCCACTGAACTTCATAGCGTACTCTTTCTCCTGCTGCTGCCTCATGCTGCTTGCTGTGGCCGTCTGGTGGGCTAGCGCACCCCCACGTACATTCCATGCCTTCCCCTCCACACCACCCACCTTCACATGCACTCCAGTGCTGCCTGCCTTGGGAATCCACTGGGGCAGCACCACCCTTAGCAGCAGCAGCAGCAGTGACGCGAGCAGCAAGTGCAGCTGCAGCAAGAACAGCAGCGAGTGCAGCAGCAGAACAAGGGAGGCTAGCAGTGCGTTGGGGCTGGTGTTAGCACTGTACCTCCTCAAGTGCTTGTCACAACTCATGTCGTTGCTCTTGCTGACAGAAAACCTGACGGAAATCGTCTCCTTGCTGTCGTTGCTGCCAGCGCTTGTTTGGTTACAGTCATTCCTCAGATCCTCCGCCGTCTCCTCCTCTGCATCAGCCGCAGAGCTCAGCGTCACTTGCAGCTGGGTCGATTCACAAGTGGAGATCTCCTCGAGAATGGCCTGGGTCGTCCACTCCAAAGGCGACTCAAATGTGGACTCTATAGTCGCTTCAACTTCAAGAGTTGGCTCACAAGGCGCCGCGCATGCAGTCGCGCAGCTCAGCGTCACTTCAACTTGCACACGAGACGCCTCAACCGCTTCGCAGCTCCTCTAGGCACTCAACGCTTCCACAAACAACAGATACGCAGCTAACGATGAGGTGAAAGCACACACAGACGCTGCGGAGATAACTAGTGCAACGGGAGCTAGACTACGGGCTAGGCATGGGGCAAGAGTGATCGTAGCGTTCATTCGTTCCTTAGTCGTTCCTTAGTGCTAACACTGCTTGCTAGTTCACGGGGAAAATTTGCAAGAGTTTCACTAGGAAATCATCACAACAAAAAGTTCAGAATGATTGCATCAACATTGGCAACACTGACTACATCAGACCTAGCAAGGCTGCTGGTCCACTGCCAGCGCAGCACGGTCGACCGTGTGCCAGCACGACTTGGTCGACCGCGCTCCAGCAGAGCAGAGTCGCGGCTTGCCAACGTTGCCCGTCCGCAGTGTGCCAACGCTGCAGCAAGTCGGCTGCACAGCGATGCATCCGCGGGACAACGGTGCACCAGCTTCGCAGGTGCGTGCAGCTGGTTGGCACCCAACTCCCGGTCACATGCCCAGCGCAGACACTTCACCCGTGACGGCGCCCACCAGCCACGTCGACCTCGGGATACCACCCCCGAGGTCGTCCTCGCAGACAACATCCCCGACGACTTTTGCGCACGTCGCCCGGGTATCCTGGTTGACCGGATATTTCGCGGTCCTCCCGCGGTTTCGCGGCCACCGCGGTACTCCCGCGATTTCGCGGCCACCGCGGTCCTCCCGCGATTTCGCGGCTCCCATGGACCCCCGTGGTTTCGCGTCTCCCACGGACCCCCGCGGTTTCGCGGCTCCCACGGTCCTCCGTGATTTCGCGGCTCCATGGTCCGCCGCGATTTCGCGGCTCCCATGGTCGGCTCCTCCCAAGCGAGGACGGGGCCAAACACAACTCCCGTTGACACTCCCCTGCCGCGTTCGCGCTTGGGTCCACCCCCCCAGGCCCACACGGCAGTACTGCTTGGAGAATAGCCTGTTTGCGTGCACACAACGCACAGCACGCCTGTCACCGCACCAGCCATGCAAAAAGGCATGGCACCTGCTGCTGCACGTCGTTGTCACCGTCGCCCACATCGGCCAGGCGCACTTGGCCGATTGCAACGGAGCACCTGTTGAAGGCCGGGTAGTGCAGCGCCTTGGCTTGGCTCTTGAAGTATAGAGCCTCGTCGACTTGGCTCTTCTTCCACCCGGCGTTAACCAACCCGTCGTTGAGAGCCGTGTACCACAGGAGCGGCAACTGCTTCAGCCCATAGAGGCTCTTCAGCAGCTTGCACACCCGGCCGGTCCCGTCGTTGAAGTGGTCCGGCTGGTACATGTACAGCACGCGGTCGAGCTTGCTCTGCAAAAAGGCGTTCTTCATGTCTAGCTGCATTAGGTTGAGGTCGAGGATGGCGACAATGCTGAGGAAAATCCTCAGTGTGACGTAGCTGCTCACTAGCGCGTACGTCTCGTCTTAGTCAGCACCATACACTTGCGTGAAGCCTTTCACGACCAGCCTCGCCTTTTCGCGCTCCACAGTGTCGTCGATGCGGTACTTCGTTGTCAGCACCCACCGGTTCTTCATTATGTTCACCCCCGGCGGGCGTTCGACTAGCTCCCAAGTGCCCATGTTGATGAGGCTACGAATCTCCTCCTGCATGGCGGCCTTCACCGTCGGGCCCTTCCAGTTCGCCAACGCCTCTTTCACCGTCATGGTCGAAATGTCCCAACGGTGTTCGGGATCGGCGTGAATGTCGGGGTCGAGCTCCAAAAACTCTTGATCGTCCTCGGCGTCATCGTACGCAAGGTCGTCGTCGTCCACATCGTACACCGTGGTGAAGGCAACGGGGACGAAGAAGTCGGGTGGCCTCCGAATTCGGCCCGACTTCCGAGGTCCGGGCTGCACCTCCACCACGTCGCTTGATGTGCCTTCATCGAACTGCTCCCCTGTCGTCCGCTCCTCTGAAGCGAGCTCCACGTTCGACGGCTCCCCTATCGACGACTTCTCCAAAACGCGCTTCCCGTTCGACGGCTCCCCTATCGACGGCTTCGCTGAAACGCGCTTCCCGTTCGAAAGCTCCCCTGCCAACTGCACCGCGGTCGGCTTCGCAGCTGCATGTTCCCCTGTCTGCTGCCTACTAGCCGCGAGCTCCTCTGCGGTCTCCTCCACGGTTGGCGTGGCGATCTCCTCCGCGGTGTTCTTCGCGGCTTCCTTCGCGGTGTTCTGCGTGGCTTCCTTCGCGGTGTTCTGCGTGACTTCCTTCGCGGTGTCCAAAGTTGGCTGCACATCTGCGGCCCGCTTCTCCACGACTGGCTGGGCATCACGTCGGCCACCGGCGATGCTCTTGGCTGGCGCCACAGGTGACGCCCCACGACTCCCCTCATCGCCGGAGACCGACACCGAAGTCACGCCACGCAGTCCAACAGGAAGGGGAGGGGAAGAAGGGGCAGGAGATGGCAAGGCAGGGGCGACCGCGACATCATCATCAGCCTGCTCATCGACCTCAGCGAGCAGAGGAAGCGTCGCCGTCGATGCATCTGTCGGTGGGTTGGCCCGCGTCCGCCCCGACGCGGGCCCGAATTCCGACTTCCACACCTCCAGCGACAGAGTTTCGTAGAACACCACGTCCGACGTGGTGACCACCCGGTTGTCGGCGATGTCGATGAGCTCCTAGCCTTTTCTCTCCTCCGATACGCTGAGGTGAAGGCCCCACCGGGCCTTCGCCTTCAGCTTCCCACCATGCTGCTGCTCAGGGACGAGGAATTGCGCCATCGACAAGTCGGGCTTCTGCCCAGTGAGGAGCTGGTACGGCGTCGTCCCCGCGGGCAGTGAAGACCGCTCCAGGCAGTTGCGAACCCGGACAGCCTGCCGCAGAGCGAAATGCCACCAGTGGTGCTGCACGCCCATGTGCAGCAGCATCGTCCGCACCGACTCCACCACCGTCCTCATCTCCCGCTCCGCCATGCCATTCTGCTGCGGGGTGTAAGGGCAGGTCAAATCGTGGACGATTCCCTTGCTGTCCACGAAGGCGGTGAAGTCCTTCCCGAGGAACTCCCCTCCGCGATCAGAGCGCAGTTGCAGCACCGAATGCATCGCCTGCCGCTCCACCAGCACCAACCACTTCTGTTACTCTAACAGCACATCCAACTTCTTGGCGACCGGCCGCACCCACACGTAGCGGGTCTTGCGGTCCTTCAGCAGCAGGAAGTACAAGCTTCCGTCCTTGGCAGCCACGCGAAATGGCCCGCACAAGTCAATGTGCACGACGGCCATGACATCGTCGGCTTCGGAGCCGTGGTCAGGGAAGGTGTGCCGCGCCAGCTTCCCGCCGACGCACGACACACA